TCACAAGTATCAATATTTCAAAGGAGATTACTAATCATTCTTTCTCTCTCAAATAAATAAATAAAATCTTTTAAAAAAACAAAATAATAGAGCTATAAGAATAGTGAAAGAGACCCCAAGACCCTCAACTTCAAAGTTTAATGCTTCCCCTCTGAGCTAACTCACTATGCTGTCCCAATAGGTTCAATGACATCATCACACAATATCAATAGATATGTCTGTGTTACATGACCTTACATCATATGCACGGTATATAACACTTTTTGTCTGTTAGGGTTGTCATGCATTTCACAAAGCAAGGTCATTGCTTTAAACACTTGAATTACCAGGCTTCCTTTACTGAGTAGGACAGAAACCTGAGCAACTTAAATTGGAACACATTCCATAAAAGATGTAGTGTTTTCTTGTCAGCACCCCCCCCTTATGGGTTGAATTGTGTCCTCCCAAAAGATATGTTGAAGTTCTAACCCCTAGGACATCAGAATGTGACCTTATTTGAAAATAGGGTCATTGCAGATATAATTATTTAAGATGAAGTCATACCGCAGGGTGGGCCCTCAATCCAATACTGGTGTCCTTACAAGAAGAGGAGTCAGACCCAGAGGGAGAATGGCAGGTCATGATGAGGCAGAGATTGGAGTGGTGCACAGACAAGCCAAGGAACACAAAGGCTTGCTGGCAGATATCACGGCTTGAAGAGCCAAAGAGGGATTCTCTGCTACAGATTTCAGAGGGAGACTGGCCTTGCTTGATTTCACACTATGGTTTCCAGAACTGTGAAACAATAAATTTCTGTTGTTTTAAGCCACCCAGTTTGTGGTATTTTGTTAGAGAGGCTGAGGAAACTAATACAACCCCAGAAAATCAAATTGTCTCTTTAAAATTTCAATTTCCATTGAAAATGGAAATTTCTGGGCGCCTGGGTGGCTCAGTCGGTTAAGCGACTGCCTTCGGCTCAGGTCATGATCCTGGAGTCCCGGGATCGAGTCCCGCATCGGGCTCCCCGCTCGGCGGGGGGTCTGCTTCTCCCTCTGACCCTCCCCCCTCTCATGCTCTCTCTGGCTCATTCTTTCTCTCTCAAATAAATAAATAAAATCTTAAAAAAAAAGAAATGGAAATTTCTAAATGTTGAGGCGCAGCAGCTAGTAAAGGCCCTTTTTACTGATGGATCTCAGTTCTCTGTATTCTTGACTCTCCTCAGAATGTCCCCCTTCACCATCTTGCTCCAAGTGAAACCTGTCCTCTGATCCATGTTTCTGCTGCAGGCGTCTTTCATATCACTGAGCCTTGAAATGGGGTAAGGTGTCTCTCCCTCACCTCATTACCAATTCCAGATCATTTCCCGTGCCTTCTTCATAAAATATTCTCATTCCTTTGAAGGTTATGCCAGTATGCCTATATCACCTGCTACCACTTCTTGCTGCAGTTATCAGTAGAACCCCAGGTCACTCTCTGAGTCCAGAAAATGTTAGCACCTTCCCATTGTCTTCTTTTTAATAGTATGCTCAGATTAATTCTTGGTGTTTTTTAATATTCACATAATTGATCCTCCTAATACCCTGGTCTCTAAATTCTTCACCACTTCTCCAGTAAGAATGCCTTCCACTTCACCTTAGCCAGTCACCACTATAGTCGCACAAACCCTTGACTTTATTATTGCCAATAACAGCATCCTTCCATGCTCCCCTTTTCAACTGTCTTCTCTTACTGACAGCCCTACATTTGTGACCTATTCCCCCAATTAAAAATTCTTCAAACTTGCTAGAATGGCCAGTTTATTTATCTTACCACCTTAACAAAGCCTCTAACCTACTCTACCCTCACTCCCTTACCCTCACATCCCATCTTACCTAGCCTAGATCTCATGGTCCATCATTATAATTACTGTATCGTGTATGCCATCAACCACCTTACTCATCTCTTACTGCTTCATATTTGCATGGCTAAGTGCCAGGCCTGCTTGAATCCAGCTCTGTACCTTCCTGCATGTGTACCTGAACATGGCTGGAACACACACTTGCATGCCCACTGGTCTCATTTGAAATTCATGACAACTAACTTACACCTGGTGATCCTACTGCCTTCCCCTAATTAATCCTTATTCCTACTCTCTAGAGAATCATTTCATACCTTCTCCTTGCTTCTCAAATCTCCGATGCCTCTTCTCTTTTTTCATCTAATCTAATGCAAAAAGAAAATTAGCCCATGAGGAAATTAGAAGTGATCAGAGAAATTTTATAAGATCCCACCTACCTGCATCTATATTCTTTGTCTTTTCTCCTGTTTCTATAGATAAACTGTATTTGCCCTCATCTAAGGCCAGTCCTTCCTGTTGTGTTATCTCTTATTGCCTACTTAACAATGTGATTCACACAGATTTCCCTCTTTCTCCTACATTATCAAATTTTCTATCTCTGCTGGATCATTTCTATTAACATGTAAGTATTCTGTGATATTACATATCTTAAAAATTAAATCTCACCTTATCCCACCTGCTATCCATTTCCGTCCTCTGTTTTATAGCAAAATTACTCAAAAAAGTTATTTAAACTTATTCATCACTCATTTAATAATAAGTATTGAATTCTTCCTATATGCCAGGCATTTTCTTCCAAGGATATAGCAGTGAGCAAAAAGATACATCTTTGCTCTTGTGGAGGTTATATACTAGTAGAAAGAAACAGCCAACAAATAAGTGAAAATATAATGGTATAAGATGAGTGATACATACTAAAGAGAAAAATAAAGTGTGGAGAGGAGTAAGAAGTGCCAGAATGGGTTGGGTAAATTACTGTTTTAAATAGGGCAGTCAAGGGTGGGACTCACTGAGAAAATAATATTTGAGCAAAGGCCTGGAGGAGATAAGGGAGACTTCTGATGCCTTCTGATGGTAGAGTGTTCCAGGTGGAAGGAACCGCAAGTGGAAAAGTCCTGAGAGTGTGCATGGTGTCCTTAAGGAGTGGTGAGCAGGCCAGTGTGGCTAGAATGCAGTGAGCAAGGAGGAGAGTAGATGGAGATGAAGCCAGAGTCATAGTAGGAGCCAAATGATGTAGGACCTTAAAGTCCTTTGTTAAGGACTTTGAATTTTAATTTGAGAGAGACAGGAAACCATTAGGAGAGTTTTGATAAGAGAATGG